TTTGACAATGATGTATTTTAATGAAATTTAAATCCATTTAATTTTTTTATTAATAAAATTTTATTATGAATTGGGTCACATGTTGTCACATAATTGGTTGTTTAGTATCACATTATGACACAGAATTCCCTGAAAATTGGTTACATCATAGCACATAATTCGATTTTTTGCACAACAGAATTTGACTTTTATCACCACAGAAAATCACTGTCACTGATTCAGATACAGAATATACAAGTTTTTTTAATAAATTTTTTAATTTTATTAGCAAAATTTATATTTTGTAGTTATAAATACAAATAAGTATGATTTAATTTTACTAATACTAACTTATTTTGTAAATTAATTTTAAGAATAGCATTTTTATAGTTATAATGGTTTAATTGTAACTCTGTATTACATTGTTTAAAGTTATTCAAAACTTTTTTTGTCTTTTTTTCTAATTCTTGATAGCAGTTGTATCAATAAGTAAATATTATATTTTTTTGTTTATTATAATACTTCTTATAATAAATATAAGTACATATTATTTTTTTTACAAAGCTATTAAGCTTGTATATGATTTACCAATACTATTTTTTAATTTGTTAATTTGATCTAAAGGGTTTATAATTATATAAACCTTCTTCTTCAATATTATCTATAAATTTTTTATAAAATACATTTTGAGTTTTTCAAGTTCTATAGTATTTTCTTATATTTTACAAATATCATTCATATTTTACTCTTGAAGTTTCTGTTTTTTGCTTTTATTCATACAAGTTAAATACTTGAAACATGTTTTGTTATTATTTTTAAATTTATTAATTTGTTTGTTATTTAGCAAAACAAACTATAATTTGAATTAAATTGGATCAAATAATTAGTTTCTATTAATAAAATTTTTATAAAAGAAAATTTTTGTACTATATTAATAAACTAATATATATTATATTTATATTACTAGTTGTAAACCCATGCAATAATGCACAGAAATAAACTTATAAAATTTTTAAATATAATTTTAAAATAAAATAAATATATAGTAAAACTTTTATAATTATTAAGCTAAAAAAGATTTAATACAATATAAAATAAAATTTAAATCTAAAGCAAATTAATTTAAATAATTTTATCTCTAATATAGATTATAATTTGGTTTTGTTTAATTTATTAAGAGTTTTATAATTTACCACTATGGTAATATATTGCCACCTCTAATCAACCAATTAGAATGTAGGATTAGGTATAATATGAAATTGAAATGATTACAATTTTTCTTAAAAAATTAGCTATAACACAAAATTTTGTCTATAAAACCATCTCTTATACTTTAACAAAAAAATTTCTCTTAAAATTTTGGGTTAAAACCTCTTTGCTAAAGCACTCTACCCTAATCTAACCCTAATCTAACTCTCACCCTAACTCTAAACTAATAAATTAATTTTATTGTTTTGATTTTACATTACACCAGATCTTATAGGATGTGATATATCGCATAGATAATAAATATAAAATTCATTTATTAAAATTAAAAATTTATTATTTCTCAAATATTTTAGAATCTAGTAATTAGAATTAAATAAACTCTTTTTTATTGGATATGCCTCACTAAGAACTTTTATTTAAAAAAATTTTATTCAGATTGGATTGCTAATTACCAAGATAATTACAAAAAACTACTTTTATATATTTTGAACTCAAAATAAGTTATATTGAATCTGAAGTAGGTCCACTTTGAACCCAAAGTGGATCTGATTATAGTTTATTTAAGTAAATATCTAAGTAAAGTTGTAGAGAGAATATTCTGAGTCAAATAGTAAGATTATCAAAATCAGACCAGTAGTTATTGAGATATGTGAGATTAAAGATTTAAATATAAGAATTAACAAATTTGCTATTACATAAAAATCAATACTTCATATAACAGTGACTTTGCTGATTCTTATGTTCACACCTTTGACCCAAGATATCTCAAAACCACTGGGCCAATTTTGATGATCTAACCACCATTTTGACTCAAAATTATCTTCTCTACAACTTTGTTTAAACCTTGAAGATATTTTTACTTAATAACTTCTTGTATAAATTTAAAGAATTTATTGACAAATCAGAATAACAAATTTAATATTACACAATTTAAGTAAATTATTTATATTAGTAATCTAAATATTATCATTATGCACAAATATTTTTAGTATATAGTTATAGATATATTATTATAAAAACTTTTTTTGATAATTATCTGTATTAAATTTTTTGCTAAAAAAAATTAAAAAATTTGTTAGAGTTAGAAGAAGAAGCAAATATATAACAGCAGTTTTTATAAAGATCAATCAAGTTGTTTTTCTATTCTTGGTTTGAAAACTTCTTTATATATTTAGCAAGCAAGTCAAAAACATTTTTATACAAGATAACTGGCAGAAGGCAGTGCTCTTGTATAAAAACTTTTAATAAAAGAGAAACCCCTTTTATTGACGAAGTTGGCTATTTCTAATTTATCTAGAGAATAACAAATAAGTTTTTTAATACTTTCTTTTGAAAGTTTGGTTTTTTTTTTCTTTTTTTTTTTTTGTCATCATTTTTACAAGTTTTTCATTAAAAAAAGTAAAGATTTAGCTAACTTTCTCAAAATAATCAATACTGTTTATTTTCTAAATTTGGATAAGCTTAGTAATATGCAATACATGTCTTGTTTGTTTATGAATTTAGTGTTACCTTTATTTGAAAGTTAAAAAGGTTCTCAAAGATAGTTATCTAGTTATAAAGAAACAAAATAGTAAAACAAAGCTATATAACAAAGATATACAAATCGTTATATTTTTATATAATTTTTATACTTATATGTACCTAGCACAGGTTATAACAGTATGATTATTTTTCCTTTTTTTCTTTTACATTTTCTGTTGGTTTTTTTCTAGTAGTTTTTGTATTAGTATTTTCCTTTTTAAACCTTATTTTTTTTTTTAATCTTAAAGTTTTTTCATTGAGTAGTTAGAAGATTTTCTTTTTAAAAAAATAGAAGGCAATCATGATGAACTAGAATGTAAAACCTTCTAGTAATATATTAGGTTTTTTGATTTTAAAAGAATTTGGAATAAAGAAAATTTTACTATAGCAGATCAAATATGGATAATTTAAACTTTGGTTACAAAGAGCCAGACTCATAATTTTAGATCGAACATATTGGCCAAGACATTATAAAGTTAAGCATTCCTGAAATAGATATGAAATAGATAAAGCATCAAGTTTAATAAAGTACTAGCATAAACATGTGTGAAACATATACTGATCTAGCCAGAATTACCTCAGAGATAAATTAATTTTATAGCTAGTATAAGTCTGAACATTAGGGATTTCCACATTGTGCAATTAGGTTTATAACCAGAGGGTTTAAATAAATAACTCCATAGTTGTGTTGCAGGTACAGGCAGCTATTAAGGCTAATTACTTAAATTAGGCACCAAAAGTGCATGTGTGGCTAGTTGTACTCTCATTGTAGCTTGAAACAAAAATCTCTAATAAATAAGCTGTAAAACTGGCCAAATGAGATCATTAAAAAAAATCAATTTTATTCTGTATCGTGATATTGAATAATAAATATATAAAATTTATATTTTTATCATTTTATGAATATACTGAATACTAATTAATCCAATTTCAGTTTATATATAAGTAATATTTAATAAATAAAGATAAGTAGAGATATAACATAGTCTCTCACCCTACAACTTTTACAAAAAAATTTACGACGATTATTAAAAATTTAAATTTATCTATCTTATTTAAATAATTACTCTAATTTATACTTAATATTTTAAGGTTATTGCTTTATTTCAATATCAAATTTGATTATTTTAAAACCAATAAGATTATATCGAATATCTAGACGTTTCAGCGTAGAGTTCTTGCAAAGTGCATCGGCTAATGCTTTTCCTCCTTCTGATCCGATTTTATTATAATATATATCTAACGTTGTTAAGGAGGTATTCTTGCAAAGTGTATCAGCTAATGCTTTTCCTACTTCTGATCTAAGTTCATTACTACAGTAGTAAGGTTGAAGTAAATCAAGTAAATGGAAATGATTAATATGAAAATTTTAGTGATATTACATATCTTTTTGAAGGAGGATTTAGTAAAGTATACAAGGCAACATGTCTTGGTGGTATAAAATATGAGTAGTTTGATAGTAATCGAATATTTTAGGATAGTAAAAATTCAACAGTTGTTTCTTAAAAGTCTTAATAATTCTGAAAGTATATAGTCTCGATGAGGTTTGTGCTGTTACAATTATTATATTTTATTATTAATTTTCAAGTTTATTTCGTTTATTTTAATTAAAAAATTATTTTTGATATAGAAATAGTATTTATTTACAACGCTATTATGGCATCATACAGTATTCCGAAGCAAAAAATTATATGATTGTAATGAACTTTGCACCATATGGTGACTTATATAATTGCATTTCAAAAACTTTCTACTTTATCTTGGGATAAAAAAAACCAAGAATATTGAGAAATATAGTATGGGAGCTTGATGTTATTCATAGAAAGAATTTATTCATCGAGATCTTCATAGTAGTAATATACTTGTTGATTATGTAGTCATCTATGGTACAAGTACAAAAATAGGTGATTTTGGAATAAGTAAGCCAGCAAATTCGGTAACAGATACAAAAGATAAAAGATATATATAGAGTGATTCCACATACGTATTGCCGAAAATATGAAAAATATACAGAAGCATCAGATATTTACAACTTGGGAATGATTACGTGTGAAATAATAACCAGTCAAAAGCCTTTTTCTGATCATAATTATGATAAATTTCTTATCCTGGATATTCTCAATAATCTTCGTCAAATAATCATTAGCAATTTACTACAGATTTATATTAATTTAATGAAAAAATGATGGGATGCCGATCCATTAAACAGACCATGTGCTTACAATATCCGGAGCAGATCATTATAAAGTAAATAAAAAAAAGTTGGTTTTCCGAAACTAGAATAGTTCCACCTATCGGAGAAGTAAATCTGCGAGCGATGCTATACTAGTAGATTGATAAAGTTCTTTAGTTAGCAATGCTCTATGGATAAAGTTAAACAACAATGCTGTTGCAGGTAAGAATGTTAAACTATTGTTGTTTGTTAACCTAAAATATGCAGTACTTATTTACTCATTATAAACGGACAAATCCTTTTGTTACCAAACATCAATTCAACATGAAAGCTGGTAACTATCAATGACATGTCTGAATTATTTAGAGTAAAATAACCTTTTTAAAATATTTCCATAGCTTCGCTAAATTTAACCTAATACAGTAATAATGGGTAATAATAATAATTATTAATATGTTGGTGCATTTAATTAGTCTAACAATCAGTCCGTCCAGTTCATAAAGATCGGTCCTAATCAGTCCTGGGCCGCAGTCTGGTCTAATTTTTTAAAAGACTGCCAATATTTGGACCAAGTCGGGCCGGACAGACCAACTAATAGCCCTAGTCTAGATATGTATTTGCTTATGCCCATTCAACGCTACTAATTTTTTTTTTCTCTTTTCTCTCAGTTATACTGCGGTAGGGTTTGACCGATCGTATTTGTGTGGTGATGAATACACACTTTGGCGGATATTTTTAGAACATGGTCGTATAACATAGCATTATTCTCAAGGCTTTGACGAAAATCATAAGATTTTATCAAACAATACAAATATTATTTCTCAACAAGCTTTAGCAGAGATGTAAACAGATCAGGTTAAAATATTCTTAATAAGAATTGTGATATTTTTTTATGTATTAAGAAATGCTCAAACGATTAACATATTTGTGTGCCAATAAATGAACTTTATTTAGCAAAGAAGCTATTTCTCCACAGATATGTCAAAGATATAACATACGTACGTACGTACAAAATTATAAACTTAACAATATATACCGCAAGTATATTGTGAAGGTAAATACTCTAAGCCACGTTTTATTCTTATTGAGGACAAAATCGATTTACAAAATCATACAAAATTACAGGTATGTGCTAAACTATTTTAAGTAAAAGATGAAAAAAGGGCGAAAAAAACGAGTTAGTTGAACTGGGTTTTAAAAAAAATTCTAGAAAATGTCTTTGTCCGTTAGGGAAGTGCCATTTATTATGTAATTTCTTTTTATTATAAGGCCACGCCCTCTCCCCTCTGTGACCAAATTGGCAACCAATCATAATTATATATACGTATAACATATATGGACGTGATGGACTGCTAACCAGTGATGGTAAATGACCTGGTCATTTGCAAATTTTTCAAATGACCTCAAATGACCCGAAATGACCGGTCATCTCAATTTTGGGTTATTTGGAAATGACTCGTGACCAAATGACCATGGTCATTAGAATCATTTGAAGGTCATTTAGGCTATAGATTTTGAAATAGGCTGGGTTAAGCTAGGTATTTGTATACTCGGGCCCAAGCTCATAAAATTTATATGCCCAACCAACCCAGGAAATGGTAAATGATCCGGTCGTTTGATCGAAATTTAAACGACCCAAATCATCAAATCATGACAAGATCATCAAAGCTCATTTACGTAGGTCATTTACATATAAAATAATTTTATTGGTCGAATTGGTCGAATCGCTCATGTAAAAAGTTATCAAACTTTATTACATTCCTAATCGATAATCGTAGCTATATACGTATTGAAGTCAAAGTCTTACTAAGTCAATTATTATATATAAATTGAAAAACTTTTTATTTTGTATAAATGTAAAGCGCGGAAGTGAATTAATAAAAGTTCTTCAGTTTACATGAAAATTCCAGAATATATGCAATTTATTATTTCGGACAACTTTATTTAAGATATATGACAGTAAAATTTTTGACTTTAATATATAGCTACGATTATCTAGTTTTGTTTGGCGGTAAATTCTGATTGGCTAAATGGCAATAGAATATCAATTAGCATATGTTAAATGACCTTCTAAGTCATTTGGGTCTCGAAATGACCCAATGACTAGTCATTTGGGTCATTTCAGGTCATTTACCATCACTGCTGCTAACCCACCCTCTTGAAATTACGTAACAAACGTCTTCCCTTATCAAAGGGCTAGTCTTTTATGCAATATTCACATATTAATATGATACATAGGGCTTTAATAAATAAAGCATACGGTTAATAACAAACAGTGTTATTTTAAATATACAAAATTGGATTTAAAATTTTTTTATTAATAAAAATTTGTTCGGTGCATAAGTAAAATTCGTACGTACGTACATACATACGCGCGTCCTGTCAGAAAGAACTGATAAATATAGAAGTATCATAACACAACCAAATCACATTCATGAACTCGGATACACCCTTTCACTTGCCATATAACCATACACTTCGTTCCTTGTATTTGAGGATTTTCGGCCAATTTTGAACCTCAGCATTACGAATTCCCGAGATATTGAAACCCGCCACGACAGATTTGTTTTCTTAACAATCAATTGTTTATTATATATTTATAATAACTATTCTACTCACTGAGAACCGAAACTAAATACTTAGTCGAAGATAGAGGTGAAATTTCTATGTGAATTATATTATTTAAGAGGGTGTTGGAATTATGTTAAAGGCAAAGATGAAGTTTGAATTACTTTATATAAAATAATTATCTTGAAGGACGTGTCCTATTTTGATTATCGTAATCGAACCGGTAGAAAAAATTATATATGGATATAATAAAAAGTTAAGAGAACTTATTGCGGTTTGCAAAAATTATGTGAAATTTGTAGACACAAAAAAAAAAAAAAAAAGGAAAAAAGAAATCTATGATTTCTGATTCTGATTTCCTAACATTACTTCTATGACTTATTTATATCGCTAATATTATACTATATAAAGACTTATACATTATATATAATATAATATATATTTATTTGGTATACATTTTTTTAAAAACATCTTTTCTAATGGCCAAAAATTATTATACCGGAACATGCTTTGGATGCACAAAGTACCTTTTTTGTACAACTTCTAGAACTTATTGTAACTGTGAAAAAACATTTCCAACGAAAAAAATTATACCAGAGTTCCTTATGCTTATACTTGAAAACTTCATGATTCTTTCAGTAATAAACGAATTAATTTTCTAATAATTCTTATAAGATTGAATTTTAATTTTCTTTTGCTCATCATGCAATAGTAAATTTTATCGGGCTAAAAAAGAAACAAAATTTAATAATACACAGTCGAAATTCTTTGCAACATGATGAATGTGCAAATGATATTCCCATAAAAGATACTAAATCAAATATGTTACAAAATAATGAATCTGAAACTTCTATTTCTGCAAATTTCACAAACCCAAATACAAAGTAAAAAAATATACTGTACAATAATAAATTGTTCGTGTAATATAGTCATATGATTTTTTGTTTTTTGTCATAAAATATTGTGATAAAAGCATCACATTCTATATAAATTGGCCATTCGAAAATAATGGGAAGAAATATTTTTACCTGAATTAATTGTTGGATATATAGTAATGTATGAACATTAACTCCGATGAAATCTTATAAATATCTTAATCTGTATTAACACTGGGCATGTGATTATAATAAAGAGAAGTTATTGGTTTTACCACAGAAACTCGACATCCCACAACTAATAAATATTTATTTTCGAATGCTTAAACTTTTAATAAATTCATAAGCAATTTTTTTCTAACTATTCAACATTGTAAGATATATCGGGATTCTTTGTAAAAGATGTGGCTTCGTTAGTATTAAATAGGATTAATAAGTTTTCACCAAACTTTGATTTATAATTGTCTTCTATCAAATCACCCATATATGGATGGCTTTCATTAGAGTAAATCATTTCCTCATTATGATCATTTTCTATCTGGTTAACTGCTTGCATAAATCCTTCACTATGCATAGATAATTCTAATAAAATTCGGTCATCATTTTGCCATTCTGTAAAAGTTTCTACGATCTGCAGATGGGCATCTTTCCGGTTCTCCGTCCCAACATTGTTTCATTAAATTAATATAACACGTTTCTCCAAAATTTTTTTCAAAAGTTGTTGGCCTTAATTTATCGAGCACTATTTTCTCATGCAAATTTGAACCAAATGCTCTGTTATAAAATCTAATCACTGATGTCCCATACAAAATCTCCCACATAATTATGCCAAATGAGTAAATATCAGACGCTTTGGTATATGACTTTCTATTTTTAACTTCAGGGTCAATAACTTCCGGTGCTATAAATGGTAAAATTCCACAAATGCCCTTAGATTCCATTCTTGAGTCTATGTTAGTTGGTATTGAAAGTCCCAATCTGCAATATATGCACTATTAAACTACGCAGTAAAACATTGCCGCTATGTAAATCTCGGTGAATAATTTCTTGAGAATGAATTATTTGAAGATCAAAAGCAATACTATGTAATAATTTTAATTTATCTTTCCATTCTGTTAGTGTTACATGAATAAGGCTATCACGTAAAGAACTCCTGGCTACTTGCAAAACAAGAATATAATTCTTAGAAATATCGTCTCTTGATATTCCATAACATCTTAAAAATGACGGATTTTTATTGCCAATATCACAATATGCCTTTAACTTTATTAAAATATTAATTGTTAAAATATAAATCGTAAATTGTTACATATTTGCACATAAATCAATTAAATCAATTTACCTCTTTTATAAATTCTTCATTACTTTCGTTTGATTTACGAATTCAAAGCATTCAACACTTTGATTTAACCAGGAAGCATAATATACCGTTGCGAATCCGCCTTGCCCTAAAGTGTTTATAATCTTGAATTCGTTATAAGGAATCCAAGATAATGGATATTCGCTTTCTGTTAGTATTTTTTTTATATTATCATTGATATCTAAATTTTCGTATATTCGCCTGTTTTTTCCTGAAAAAAAGTTAAACTGTTATATTTTGAATTATTTGAAAAATATATAAATAGGCTAAACAATATTTAATCACCAGATGTTAGTTCCCGTCCCCTAAATTTTTTTTATATAATTAGTAAAAAGAAAATTGGATAAATTTATAATAAATAGTATATAATAACTTACATCTGGTACCATTCATCGGCCTTTTGTAAGTCTCTTGTTGTTCCAATTCCATTTCTATAACATTCTGCAACACGATATACCGCGCTAGCATCCCCCATCTCTGCTGATTTTCGAAAATAAATAAATGCCTTATTATGTTCATCCATTCCAACACCAATTCCATTTAAATAACAATATCCAACCATATATGTTCCACTAGCGTAACTCATCTCTGCAGATTTTTGATAATAAATGAATGCTTTATGTTCGTCTTTTTCAACTCCAATTCCATTTTCGTAACAGTGTCCGAGATTGTATATTCCATTAGAATTACCCATATCAGCAGATTTTTGATAATAAATGAATGTCTTATTTTCATCCTTTTCAACTCCAATTCCATATTGATAACATCATCCGACATTATATGTTCTGCCAGCGTCACCCATATCAGCAGATTTTTGATAATAAATGAATGCCTTATGTTCATTCTTTTCAACTCCAATTCCATTTCGATAACAATAACCAACATTAAATGTTCCATCAGCATAATTCATATCAGCAAATTTTTGATAATAAATGAATGCCTTATGTTCATCCTTTTCGACTCCAATTCCATGATGATAATAACAGCCAACTTCATATGCACCTCTAGCATAACCCATTTCTACTGATTTTTGATAATAAATGAATGCCTTGTATTCATCTTTTTCAACTCCAGTTCCTGCATGATAACAACCTCCAACATTATACGTTCCAGTAGCGTTTCCTATTTCTGCAGACTTTTGATAATAAATAAAAGCCTTATGTTCATCCTTTTCAATTCCAGTTCCATGATGATAACAACATCCAACGTTACATGTTCCATAAGCGTTTCCCATCTCTGAAGATTTTTGATAATAAATAAAAGCCCTATGTTCATCCATTTTAACACCGATACCATTTAAATAATAATTTCCAACCACATATGCTCCACAATCGTCACCCATATCTGCAGATTTTTGATAATAAATGAATGCTTTATGTTCATCTTTTTCAACTCCAATTCCATTTTCATAACAGCGTCCGAGATTGTATATTCCACTAGAATCACCCATATCAGCAGATTTTAATAATAAATTAATAATAAATAAATGCCTTATGTTCGTCCTTTTCAACCCCAATTCCATGATGATAACAACGGCAAACTTTATATGTTTCACCAGCGTAACCCATTTCTGCCGATTTTTGATAATAAATGAATACTTTATGTTCATCCTTTTCAACTCCAATTCCACCTAGATAACAACCTCCAACATTATACGTTCCAATAGCGTTTCCCATTTCTGCAGACTTTTGATAACAAATAAATAATGCCTTATATTCATCTTTAATTTTATGTTCGTAATAAAAACTAGCCAAACACATTTCATCAATTTCATCAGGAGAAGTTTTTTGAGCGGTTAGAGACATATTGTAGATGCTTGAAGGATCCGAAACATTCATAAATGAAATAGGATAGAGTTTGCTTATTTGTGCAAAATTGGGTTATAAGTGCTTATTTTTGACTAAAATTTATAAAATTTACTATGCATAATTGCCTTCTATTTATTTAATTTGAAAATTAAATTTCATCGCTAGTGCGACGCATCGACACCTTCGTATTAAATCGGAACAAAAACGAAGAGCAATTGGATCAGTACCCAAAGTTAAGGTAATATCAAAAAGAACAACAGCCTAAATTTCTAAGGATTTTTGTTAAGATGAAAAAGGCAGTTTCTTAGGCAACTTTGGGCTAAAGGGTTTTTTTTTTTTAAAAAAAAGATCGCATGTTACACCATTCTACACCTGATCCTGCATCTGTTCAGGCAATCAACAGTAGCTAGTTAGTAACAATTAGGTTACTTTCTTCGTAGTATATAAATTACTTGCGAAATGTAAATTTGCTTCGTAGTAAAGTATATTTTATAACTGCTAAATATATGACAATATATAAGTTAACTATATTATTTTTTTTATGTTAAAGAAGTATGTACGCATAAAATATTCAAATGTACTTGTACAAAAAATTTATATTATATAAGCGCGTGTACTATTAAAACTTATATACGGGTCCATACTACGTAACTTGTATCATCGTACTGTACGTACTACCTATTGAACGTAAAATATTACGAGTTTTTCTATTACAAATAAATTTTTAATATTATTTTTGATACTGCACTATAATAAGAATAAAATTAATAAAAGATTACAAATCATATTTTTATTGAAGGCAATATACAAAATACTAATGCAGAGAATGTTTAAAAATTTCGATAGAGCAAAAAATATTTATAATAGAAATTTTTAAAGAGTTTTTGCGCGATTGGCTATTTTAAAATCCAAAAAAAAAATTCTGAAGCATAAAATTATAACTTATTCTCTATTAGGTTAAGCAAAAATTATATCCCTATCATTAAAAATGAAGGAGAAGTAGCAATTTAAAAAATGTATTTTACTATATAAATTTTGGAAAGTTATAGGTTATAAAAAAATTCTATATTACGATTTATATAACGTTAATTATACTTTTTTTTTTGGAAGCTTATTTCTTCTTTTTACGTGCTTTCATTATAGTTTGGTGACATTTTCTTGAGAAATTTTACGCTTTTTTCGTTGGACTGATGCTGGTTGTCAAATTTTTACCCACTTCATAATGTTTCGTTCTACGGTAGAATTTCGTTGACATAGATAAACAGCCTGTTTGCCTGATGATAAAAATTCAGCTTTTTCATGTTCTTTCTTAGTCGCATAGTGGTCTTTGATATTTCCTGAAATTGCTTAACCAAATTAAGGAATCTCTTTGCTGTAAAGATCCATGTATAATCCACATTAAGCTATCCAATATTTATTTTTTTCAGTTTTAACCATTGGCTCAAGTTTAATATAATTTTTTATTCTATAAGAGTTATTAAATTTTTTGGAGTGAAGTAGGTAAATCAGACAAGTCGGGTTGCATTATTATTATTATTATTATTATTATTATTATTATTATTATTATTATTATTATTATTATTTATATGAAGCGAAATATGAAACGAAATGTGAAGCGAAATATGAAGCAATTATAAAGCAAAGTACGAAACGAAATATAAAGTAAAGTTTAAATGAATTTAAAGCAAAGCATGAAGTGAAATATAAAGTAAAGTATGAAGCGAATATAAAACAATGTATGAAGCAAAATATAAAGCAAAGTATGAAACGAAATATAAAGCGATATATAAAGCAAAGTATGAAGCAAAATGAAGCGAAGTATGAAACGAAGTATGAAGCAGAAATATGAATCGAAATATAATCGAAATATAATCGAAATATGAAACGAAGTATAAAGGTAGTTTATTTATCGCTGTTTGCAAACTTTTGATAAAATCTGTGGGTCACTGCATGCCCGATTGTCCGATTGCAATCGATTGTACATGTTTGTACGTGATTGTGCGTGATTGTATGCAATTTCTCAGCGAATATTTTTTTTATTTGAATTTTATGGATCTATAGAATTCAAATAAAAAAATTCATCAAATTTGATCAAGTGGTTGCTGAGATATCATCGCTCAGTTTTTTTTTTAAAAAAAATGTCAAATTAATAGAAACTGCGCCAAATTTTTCCTAAAACTTTGAGCTGATATAATTCAGCAACCACGTAAACAAATCCGATGAATTTTTTTTATTTGAATTCTATAGATTCATAGAATTCATATATAAAATTTTCATCGAATTTAATCAGTCGGTTACTGAAATAGCTTCGTTCAAAGTTTTTAAACATCAAAAATAGAAGCTGCGCCAAATTTTTTCTAAAACTTTGAGCGAAGATATTTCAGAAACTATCAAATAAATTCGATG